TGCTGAAGCTGAAAGCTTTACCAGGTCAGTGAAAACAAACAAGGGTTCATGGAGAAGCCCAGAGCTCTGCAAAACAGTAACCAGAGAGCAACCAGAACCAGGAGAGCTATAATGAATAACACACTGACACAAAGAGCTGTAAAGAAGAACATACTGACAAAAAAGAGCTATAAAACAGAGCATACTGACACTAAAAGCTATAAAGAAGAACACACTGACACAAGTTCATGAAGCTCACCTTTGGACAAGCTACCAATGAATAAGCTATTGGGCACTAGTGGCAGGGGGGAAAATATTCTGCTAGTGCAAATCTAAACACTGAGACCAACACTGCTCCTTCACTTTACCAAATGGAGAGTCTCAGCCTTCACTGCTTGCTAGTGTTTCAACTGCTGCACAAAATTCAGGGATTAAACACTGGCATTTTTCCAACAGATTGAGAGGGGTTTGATTTAAGTATTCAAGCTACTTTTAATGTAGCCAAGAATATGTCAGACCCCAACTCCACTATTTTTGTAATGACTAATGCCCTGTCTTTAATGGGTTTGCAAACAGGAACACACAATTCTAGAACAGTTTGGGCTGGAAGGGACCTTAAAGATTATCTAATCCCAACTCCCCTGCCATGGACAGGGACACATCCCACTAGACTAGTTTATTCAGAGCCCTAACCAAACTGGTCTTGATCAGTTCCGGGGATGGGGAGTCCACAACCTCTCCAGGAAACCTGTGCCAGTGCCTCAGCATCCTCACAGTAAAGAATTCCTTCCTAACAGAGCTGACTGCAGTGAGATGTGTATCTTCGTAAGTTCCTTAAAATAAATGAATCATTTCTAGCAAGAGTTATTTTTTTGACCAGCACTGCCAAGTCTCTTCACTTTGGGTCTGCGACAGTGGGTGGCTTGGCCCTCTCCAACAGTGGCAGCCTCTCCCCACCAACAAATATGAACATTAGTGTCTTTTATAGAACCACCATCATTCAGGAGCCAGGCAAGCTTTGCAGTGCTTTACTCTGGCAATCCACAAGTGTCTCAGTAATGATTTGGATTGGACATTTTCCTCTGAAATCTGGAGAATCTGAAGGTTCTAGTTTCTTCCTCAGTTTTCTCTCCACTCTTATCCCAGAGACATCAGTGACATTGAGACACAAAAACCACAGCCTGCTTGTGCTGCACCTTAAATACCAGGAACTTGCTGCCACTTAAAAGACACTCATTTTTTTTTCATAGCTTTAACATTGCCTCAGGCCACAGTATACTCCCTGAACAGCACATAAAGCCACTGCTCACCCACAAAAGAATAACGAGAAACTGCCACACCCACGCTGTCTTCCTCCTGCAAGCACCACCTGTCCCTTCTGCAGAAGTAGCAGCACTAAATCAACTCCAGCAAGCAACTTCCATGGCTTCAGATAGTTCTAGTACATCTGGAATAAGACAGCTGGTAAAAAGGGTTTCTGCTCTTACCTGGGCTGCTGCTGGGGCTGCTGGAGGAGCCTGACTAGGTGGAGGTACAGCAGTTTGAGGTTGTGCAGGTACTTGGCCTGCAGCCTGAGGTAGTTGAGTAGGTGCCTGTGCTGGAGCATTGAGTGAAGGACCTGGAGGTTCAGCTGATGGAAATAGCTGCAAGCAAAAAGGAGTTTTAATGAGAAAAGAAACTTAAGAGTTCTGACTCAAGCACCAGCTTTCCAAGAAGTGCTTGCATTCCCAGGCCTACAGGGTCCTAATGCTGAGCCCAAGTTGGTGTTCAAGGGGTTTCATGTGTCCTTATGTCCAGGGACACATTCTGTCCAGATGTTTGTGTGTTTTGCTCATCAGTAAAGGACAAGAAACCAAGATACGAGCATGCCTGAGGGTCTTGGACAGAAATTACACTCTGTGGCTAGCACAGCTGGATGCACAGAGATTGCACTGTCTCTCAGCTTGGATGAGAGTACCCTGTCCTTCAGCTTCCCTCTTTCTCAGAGTCTGAGTCCTACTTATATTTCCAAGTATCCATGCAGCCACAGAAGAGCAACCCTGCCTTGACTCATAGTTTCTTTCAGAGAACAAAACCAGCATGGCAGTAAGGATCTATCAACAACTGATCCATTCACAAAATAAATGTCAGAGTCACAGCAATTTGGATATTCAATGAAAAGTGAATTCAGAGCTCTTCAAAACACACTACACAAGATTTAGGATTGGATTAAAAGTTAGACCCTTAACAAAGCAAAATCATATGCAATTAATTTGGGGATGGGGGAAAAGAGACAAAAGAAAAGTTTAACCTTTTTTACCTCTTGCTACTCAGAACAGAGAAACCAACTCTGGTGCAGGAGCCAAAAAACTGTCAGCTTGATGGCACTTCAGTGTGCCCTTCAGCTTACTCTGATAGGTTGCAGGAAATATAAATCACCTTGAATATTGAAAACCTGGGCAGCAGACCTCCAAATCAGAATATGCATTAATCCCAAAGGGATTCTGGTTTTCAGCTTTTTCTTTGAATTTAGAGTTCATGTCAAATTACAGTGCCAGAACTCGAGTCTTTCTTAAGAATCTATAAACATTTCTTGGAAACAAATGAGGAAGAACAGCTCTGTTTATCTTCCCACACAGGTAGAGAAGAGACAAACATAGCAGAGTCTCTAAAAGATAAACAGTCCCTATCACTGAAAGATAAGATAGACTAATAGTCCTAATGTAAGAAAGAGTTCAGAACTGAGGGAGGATTATAGAGTGCAACTGAAGTTTGGTTTGCTACCAAGTATTACTCCGTATTTATGTCACAATTCTGAGCACAGGTTCCAAACCAGAGAATCAGACTATGCAAACCAGACATTTATTTCAAAGTTGTGTACGGCTGGGCTTGTGTTGTGGTTTTTTTGAAAGAGAAAATCAGAACACAGATATTTTGCTTAGATTATTCTTGTGAACAATTCATTATCTTGCAACATACACACTTTTGCCATAGCAAGTAAAGTTGCAAAGACATAAACCAAACTCACCTCAGGAAGAACTCTTGGCATTACACAGCCATGGACTCTTTTTATAGGGACCTCTTCAAACAGAGCTCAGCTACATGATACTACTACTTCACACAATATTGCTTTCAAAGGCTAATAAAGAATGTGCCTTGGAACAACAGTAATAACTAGGAGTCATTACTTCAGGAAGCCATTTGCAATTACAACTTACCTCGGAATTCTGTACAGGTTCTTTCACTCTGGGAGACTGAAAAACAGAGAAAAAACTGTCAATGCCTAGGCAAAAGTGAAACTTATTGACTAGAAGGACTTGTCAGAATCATACTGAATCGTAAGAAACCTACATAACTGTTTCAAGTTACACGTGTATTAAGACGCATGACAAAAGGGACACCACACAATTTGTTGTCATATCATACAACCCAGAAACAGACTCATGTTTCAGAACTCACAGTCAGTACTTTCACAGTGGCACACAAAAACTTAGCTGCTACCATCAGACTCATGTTTCAGAACTCACAGTCAATACTTTCACAGTGGCACACAAAACCTTAGCTGCTACCACTGCTATCCATTACCAAAATCCAGGACTCAAAAGATCACTCAGATTGGATCAAATTACTTGACCATCAAGATGGCAAAATCCATTTTAAGCTACCCAAGTCTGGCAGAAAAAGACAAGCCACACAAATCTGCCTTGCAGAGTTCTGTTAGAAAACAAATCCTGTTTGTATATTTAGGGAAGTAGTTTGCAAACCAACTTGCTTAAACCATGTAAAACCTTGAGGGGGTGAGAGGGGGAAATCAGCCTTGCTTGTGCTGCTTTCTAGAAAGAAATCCCTGGCCTGCTCTCCTTGCCCTTGGGCTCTGCATTATGCTGTGCTTGCTGTGAGAGAAAGCAGAGAACTGACAGGTGTACATGAGTTCAGCAGTGAAACAAAGAGAACAGTGGAACAAAGGGGAAAGTGCAGTCGAAGCAACCGACCAACCTTTGCTTATCAGTAAAACAGAGATAGCAGACATCATCTGTTTCACGTGAGCAGGAAGGAATTACCAAGTACTCCTTGAAAGCCCTGCAATTACACAGGAAGGAATTACCAAGTACTCCTTGATAGCCCTGCAATTATGAGAGCCTGCAGCTTTGCCTTCTCACAGGTCCAATCACCATGTGGATAGACAGGTGAGATGGTTTGCTTCATGTGGGGATTAATAAAATAGAGGTTCCTTCTCCACATAATGGTCTAACAAACAGGTTGGTGCAGTTCAAGCTTGACAGCAGAATGTTAAGTCTCACCATGCCCCCATCCAGAGCCAGTTTATGCACTAATCAATGCCACTACCTTAACAGATCAGAGCAACTTGTAACATGACCCAGGGTTTCTCATAAGTAAAGGTTAAAAATAAAAGGTTATTCTCAGAACAGCAAGTTCTGAAAACCCCTCTGGACTGGAGGAGAAGAAACAGCTCCCTCGTGACGGCTGTGATCAGGAAGTCACACAGCTGGAAAGGTAAAGCCTGAAATCCATCTCAATGTGCTCAGCCTTCACTTGACAGTTAGCAGGCAAGATGAAACATGTGGCATTGCTCCCAGGGAAACAGCCATGCTCCACATCTGCAGGACACAGCTGCTGCGCTGTTGTTTCAGGCACAAAGCTCATATCCAAGAGTACCTGGACGCCTTAAGGAATTATGCAAAAGGAACTGGTCTGGAAGATCACAGTGTGCTAAACACTGTAAAGGCAAGTATGGAAACACTGGCCCTGCCCCTCAGCTAAAAACTAACCCAGATAAATGACCAACAGAAGTGTTGAGAACTGGTTGAACATGAGCCAGCAGTGTGCCCAGGTGGCCAAGAAGGCCAACGGAATCCTGGCTTGCATCACCAAAAGTCTGCCCAGCAGGACAAGACTGTCTCCCACTACTGAGCAATGGCGAGGCACCTCAAATCCTGGGTTCAGTTTTGGGCCCTTCAAGATAAGAAAGACATTAAGGTGCTGGAGCATCTCCAGAGAAGGGCAATGGACCTGGTGAAGGGTCTGGAGCACAAGTTTGATGAGAAGTTGAGGGAGCTGGGGGGGCTCAGGCTGGAGTAAAGGAGGCTCAGGGGAGACCTTCTCACTCTCTACAGCTACCTGAAAGGACATTGCAGCCAAGTGGGGTTGGTGTGTTCTCCCAGGTAACAAGAAATAGGACAAGAAGAAATGGCCTCAAGCTGCTCCAGGGGAGGTTTATATTGGATATTAGGAAAAGTTTCTTCACTGATAGGGTGGTCGGACATTGGAACAGACTGCCCAAGCAAGTGGTGGAGTCACCATCCCTGGAAGTGTTCAGAAATATGTAGATGTAGCATTTGGGAACAGAGTTTAGTGGTGAACACAGTGGTGCTGGGTTAACAGTCGAACTCTGTGATCTTGAAGGTCTTTTTCAACCTCAAACAGAGGACAGAAAGAAAACAGGGCAAACATTAAAAGATGTTTACCTAAGGCACGACAGTAATAAAATGCAGATACAGATGGATTCATTGACTCACAAAATGGTTTGGGTTGGAAAGGACCTTTCAAGATGATCTACTCCACCCCCACTGCAACGGGCAGCAATAAAAGGCAACACCTAGTTAACACGTTATTCTATCCAACAACTGAGTTAAAATTGCAGAGGGATTTACAGACAGGTGGAATTTATACTCTCTGTTTGAAATACGGCCAAAACCCACAGGATAAGCACCAGTCCTCAATAACACCACTATATCCATGGGCAAAAATTGGCAGTCTGGAGACAAGTCTTAGAACTGCTTGAAAATGGATCAAATTGAAGTACCCAGGCAGACATTTAGTGAGGTCTAAGACACCACAGTGGCCTTCCTGACCTCCAGAAATGTACAGGCTTCCCAAAATTCTGTGTTACATATACATGAGGTGCCTCCAAAACAGTAACTGACATCTATATTTAAGTAATTGAATTAAAACCTCCTACTCCAACACACATTGTAAAGGTTTCTTGAACATGAGACCTAAAAATAAAGGCCAAATTACAGTGATCAGAACAGAGAGAAGCACAAGGAAATATGCCAAAGCATCAAGAAAAAATGGCTTGAGAAGGAACCTGTAAACATGTGTGTCAATCTGCCTTTTTTACACATAAGAGGAATGAAACAAGTCCTGTTCAAAACACAGTACCCAGAACTTAGAGACAAGATTCTAAGTAATCCCTGAAACAGAATTAGGGTCTCTTACAGTGCTGATTCCTAAAATTTGATCATATTTTAACCTACAAAACGAATTTAGAAGAATTCGGCTAATAGAGCATCAAAGAATTTCAGTAGTAGCCACCTGGGACCAAGAGATCTTCCTTGACCATGTAATGCAAAGTTGGATACAGTAAGCTCTTTAAAAAGCCACAGTAGTTGTTGCCACAAAGTATGTAAAGTATCAATAATGACTTTTAAAAACCCAAGCATTTCAAACCAAAAGAAACATAATACTGCATTTAATATTTAAGTGCCTATACAGAACACCAGTAGAAGAGAAATGAAAGAGAAATGAGAAAAGTTGTAAATGGATAAACGCTTCAAACCAATACTGCCTTTTTCTCCTTTCATATTGAAAAACATCTTAAAAATCCTTCACTGTCTCGCTAATACATTTACAGGATGGTTAAAACACAGAGTCCACTTCAAGCTATCTGCTGTAGTGAAAAGGGAATATGCAAATCCCACACTGCTGCCTGCTGGGGGAAGTCAACCTGGAAATGTATTGTAATCTTTTACCTGATCATTATATATTATTCCTCCGTGTTCTTGGGGCTTAGTCTAGCTTGGGGGGGGGAGGGGGGTGTATGTGCTGGTAGAAGGGAAAGTGGTGGTTTTTTGAGGATTTTCAAGTGCTAGACCAATCACTCCTGTGACTTTAGGGATGCTGCAATGTTTTCTACTAGGACTCATCAATTTCAGTGTAACTGAGGGGACAGAACATGCCCTGCATGTTTCAGGAATTAGCCATAAGCACAGGCCCTATTGATTTCATCTCCATCCTGGCGAGGAGAGCAGGACAAAGCCTCTCCTGACACTTCTGAAAGACAGCATCTCAAACAGTCAGCACCCTTAAAGGGAATATCCTTGCTCCAGTGAATCACTATGCTCAGCTGGGAGCAGACCATCTAAATTCACATTTCCAATTGTGCTGAACATTCCTGAATGAGACCAGCTGTGTCACACAGTGATGACAGAAAAGAGATCAAGACAATTTCTCAACATTCAATCTGCTTTCTTTGCTTCAGCTCCAAACTCGAGGGGAGGTATTATAACTTGCTGTGCATCCTTCTTCAGGCCATGTGCTTCCCAAATATGTTTAGACACACCACAAGCAGAAAACAAAACAGAGACAGCAGAGCTATCAGTTTGATGACCCACCCTGAGCTGTGAAATTGCTGCTCTGCCTTCCTCACTTTCTTCATCTAGTTCATCATCACTCCATTCCCAGCCACCATCTTCAGTCTTATGAAGACGTCCGCTGGAGCCTGGGACTCTCCGGACCTGCTCAGCACAGAGACAGAGAAATGATGTGTCAAGCAGACAGTTTCCACAGTTGATATTTTTTAGGAGAAACAGCACCAGAGTATCTTCAGTTTGCATCACCTGCCAGGGTGCCTGAGTGTTTTATTGGAATGTCTAGTTCTGTCTCTAGAAAATGCTGGACTACACTTATTATCATTGAAAATGTGAATACATGCAGAAAAACTAATGCAAGTATAACAGCAAGAGCCCAGGATTTCAGTACCTTTTTGGATCTTTCAGTGATTGTTGGTGCTCTCTGCAACATCTTCTCTTGCAAAAATTCTTTATTCTGCAAAAGAAAAATACCAAACATTTGCACTGCTGAAAATGCTCTTTGATTCCTTCACTGTCTCTGATAAAGTAACTGTTAAGCTATATCTAGCAGAAAGTAGTTTACATATTTCACCCCCATTCCCCCCAAAATATTAACCGCTTCCTTACTTAGTACTACAGTGTATTTGTAGTCAGGTGGGGGTTGGTCTCTTCTCCCAGGCAACCAGCAGCAGGACAAGAGGGCACAGACTCAAGCTCTGCCAGGGGAGGTTTAGGTTGGATATTAGGAAAAGATTTTTTATGGAGAGAGTGATCAGTCATTGGAATGTGCTGCCCAGGGAGGTGGTAGATTCACCATCCCTGAAGGTTTTCAAGATGAGACTGGATGTGGCACTTAGTGTCATGGTCTAATAACGATGGTAGCATTAGACTTGATGATCTTTGAGGGCACTTTCAACTCAGTTGGTTCTATGATTCTGTGACGTTTCATCCTAAATACCTTTTCAGTTAGCAGTGGCACTTTCTCTATGCAAAGTGATAGGGAATTAAAGAGTGAGGAGTAGGATATTATTCTAGTTTACTGGGAAATATACTTATTATACTGCAGCATCTGATACCCTGCAGAGACATCTGGCATTCTTCCATTTGCGGATACTATACCACCTGGATCCAACCCCTTTGTTTTATCTTATTCCTAAATTTATGCCTGTCCAACTGTCAAGGCAAACCTCACATGTCAGGCAGGCTGGGATGCAGGAACCTCTCTATGCTGGGGTAACAGGATTGAGGAATTTGGGCAGCAAGATTTAAAAGGGCTGAAAAAATGTGCAGCACTTATGTTTACAGAGGAAGCAAATGCAGCAATCACAACGGATTATAAATACTGGGAAACTGCTGTGATGCTTTATTGTATTAAATTTCCTCTTCAGCAAGCTGCTCCAGACTGGTATATGGGCTCCTGAGTATGCAACTTCCCAACTGCCTGTCTGAAGAGCCAAACTGCTGGCTGGACAGGAGGCAGGCCAGGCCAGGCTGGCAATGGCACTGTGATTTGGCTGGGTAACCACACCACACGAGTGAGGTTGCAAAGCCCTGCCATCTCTACCCATGCAGTGCTCCCAGACTTCCTCATGATGGTTGCTTGCAGGCAGGATGGAGAGTCTCAAGACACACTCTGTCATCCCTGGTAAGTGGCTCTCAGCATTATCAAGCCACACTTTTACATAACATAGACTGTATTTAAATATATAACTCAATATAGATGTGCAGAAGTTGGACTCTTCAGCCTTCAAGTTACAGCTGTCAGTTTGGCGGTGGCTGATGTATGACAGTAATTTAACCCTGAGTGTGAAGTGGCACACATTTTCACTTCAGCTGCTGAGTTACGTATTGCCTCATTTATGGTAACGTTAATTTTCTATCACCACTTATGTTAATATGTTACTCTACAGCAGCTTAATGAAAGCATGAAGGAGATTTTGCACACAATGAAGTGTAACATGAACCAGAACTCGCACAGCCAAATGGAGAAAGATCAACAATATGTAAACCATCTTGTCACTTTGGACACTAAGTGTGCATCCAGCATACAGATACAGACTATTCAGTTGCCTAAAAAATCCCATCACGGACAGTGAAAACCCAGTTAATACTGTAAGAGCTCAGATATCAGTTAAACTTGCCCTAAAGCAAACGGCTTCATTTCATAACCTGGACCACTCTCCCAACTTCCTTGGTTCATAGAATCATCAAATCACCAACTATCCTGAGTTAGAAGGAACCCACGAGGATCATCAAGTCCAACTCGTGGCCCTGCATAGGACATCCCCAAGACTCACACCATGTGCCTGAGAGCATTGTCCAAACACTTCCTGAGCTCTATCAGGTTTGTGCTGTGATCACTGTCCTGAGGAGCTGTTCCAGTGCCCAGCCACCCTCCGGGTGAGGAATCTTTTCCTAATTTCTAACCTAAACCTCCCCTGACACAGCTTCATGTCATTCCCTCAGGTCCTATCACTGATCACCAGAGGGAAGAGCTCAGTGCCTCCTCTTCTGTTTTTCCTTGTGAGGAGGAAGTGCAGCCTCCCCTTGGTTGCACTTATTAAGACTTCTGTCAGCTTTAATAGGACATTTAGATCCTGTACAGATAACTGGATGTGGCCACTTCCATTTAAGCATCTTAGTCTGGGAGCTGAAAACTACTCTGATTAATTGGTGACACAATTGTGCTATCCCAAGTATTGAATATCTTTTTGCCAGTTTAATCTATATTCTGCTACAAACCCCATGCAGTTTGATCGCAAACATGTCACAGAAAAAATAAGCACACAGAAGACATTTCTTCATGCCTGTGGAAATATAAATTCTCCCTTGTATTATTTCTGTCTCCCTCAAAAAGACCTTGCACGTTGCATATGCACTAATCTCCAGGCAGTAATTACATAATGCTCTCTGGCAGTTCACTTCAAGGCTAGAAATGGAAGTATACTACTATTTTATATCAAAGGATCTTCACTTTCCATAAGGCAACACAGGGTGAAATAGCTTTAGATAGCCCTTGCACAGTGGCCCTCATTCACCCCTTTGCCTACAGACTGATTATAGAGTTTACTAAAATATAAGTTACACTCACTGCCACAAAGACCTTTATGGTTAGACAGGCAGCCAGAATGGCACCATTACAAGAGAAGAACATACCCAAAAGCTACTGAAAAACATTAAAATGCTTAAGAATTTCTAGGTAATTTCTCTTACCAGCAGCACACACAGAAAGTACAGAAGTGGGTTTCATTCTGTTCCTTCACAATGACCCATTCAACATGCTCAGCTATGCTGGCCCCAAGTGAAACAGCCCACAGTCCTGCCAACAAAGCTGTCACCACACCTATCGTCTTCTGAAAAGTCCTCCCCACAGCCTCTGCACAGATCAGTTTAGGAAGTGTTTTCTTACCTTTGCTTTCGTGAAAAATTTGTGTCGTAGGAGTTCTGCTGCTGTCGGTCTGTCAATAGAAACAGATATAGAAAAGACAACTATAAATGCTCCTTTTCAATACAAACATCTTCAACACTGCTGCAGCTTCTTGTAACATGGCATCTCACGAGGGCATTAGGTTCTTCTGCACAATTCCCCTAAAATCAATGTATTCCAAGTAAATTTTACCCAGCAGTCTTTTAAACACTCAGTGTATCCTGATGAAAGCCTATTCCATTTAAAAGCAGAGAACTGCTCAGAGTGCCGGGGGAGAAGTCTCCTATTTTGATGCTGAACTTGAGACTCTTTGATAAGGACAGGATCACAGAAACTATTTCCTCACAGAACCATCACCTCCCACAGGAGTGCAGTAGTCACCATGCGCAAGTACTGGAGTTATTTCAGAGATACTTGATTAAAGGTGTGTAATTAGTTTTATTACACACAGGTGGGATAATCAACCTTTGTCTAATAGAAAAGGAACAAGCACAAACTCTTTTTCCCTTTACGTTAGACATTAGAATAAATACTGGAAAGTAAGAGACACCCCTTGGTCAGTTTAGGATGAGCTTTCTAAAGACTCAGCCTATATGACAAAGTACCAGCCTACAGCATCTCCCACACTGCAAACTCTGCTTAAATAGTAACAGAGTTTAATCACTCACTTGCAAAGGGCATACACCACAGGGTTTATTTCACCTCAGGCTACTCTCACAAAACCCATCTACCTTACAGCAAGGGAGCCCCTAAAATAATTGGAAAGCAACGGTACTAAATTATCCTCTTGGAGAACCCATGCAACATGCCAACAGTCAGGATGATGCCAGTGGCTGGCAAGCACTGCTTGAGGAGACAGAAGGACTGTGCCATGATTCAGAGACATTATGTATAATCTGATCAGCACACAACCTAACCTGAAGGGATAGGATATGCTTTAGAAAGGTGAAAGAACATCATGCTGAGAAAAATAAACCACCTATCAGCATTTATCAAGCACTCCACTGGATTCATTAAGCATTACAAGTGCAAAGCTTGTTAGAAGAGAGAGATCTCATCTCACAATGCGTGAGAAGCCTCTGTTCCTGGATCTGTCACAAGAGAGAACTGAAAAATGTCTTCATTATTATTATTTAATGAAAGCACTTTTTCCTTTTCAGAATTAACTTTGCTTACTGAGGAGGAAAAAAACCTCCCTAAGAGGTATTAAAAATGGCACAACACACACACCACCCCCTCAGTACTATTTCCTGCATCACTGAGAAGTCAAGCTACTGTTCAAGGAAGGCTGAAAGTGTCATCAGGTCACTTAAGCAATCTGCATTGATGAAAACATGCTGGTAGAATTTGCCAGTGTTTTGCCTGATTTACCCCCTCAAAACAAACATTACATATAATTAAGTAAGACAAAGCTGCACTGAAAGCCTTCTTTGCAATGACAAATTTGAAAAAGCTTATTTATGCAGTTTTTGCAAGTAAACCTATATTGCTCAACCTGTAATTTCTGATTTATAAACACAGAGCACTTTTGACTAGGAACAAAACATGAACTGCAGTCACCTGCTGGAGGTGGCCAGCAGAGAATGGCTCTACCCACGCAGTGGACTGGGATGCACTCTCATTAACCCAAATGGGAGATGTGTGCCCCAGCCAGGCTCAATGCCAGACATTTATCCATAAAAACAAGGACAGCCAAGAGAATTTGTTGCCACACAGCAAGACTGCTGTGTTCATCGTGACTGAAAGGCTGGATGGGCAGAGAGTGCATCAAGTTTAAAAAACATGGAATACAATGAGGTTTGTGAGTTTGTTTCATTTTTATTTAATTTTGTGTTACCCGTTCTTACCTTTTTTCAGGGTCTTTTTGTAGGCACGATGAAATCATCTTCCTAAATGATTTCCCATACTTCTTCAGCATCTCCTTATCTTGCACACCAGTTTCCAAAGATGGAGGATCATTTTGCAGCGTCAGCATTAAAACCTGAAAGAATTATGTCTATTGGCAATGAGATTTTTCTTGGCCCTTATTAGAGACAGATCTTGGGAAAAATGTATTTTAGACAAATATTTTCATCAAGCACCTGAGCCCACAAGGATGTGCTGACAACAAATACTCAACAATTTAAACTACTGTTTTCCATCCCATCTCCTGGCCCATGGAGCAGCCCATGGGCCACATACTTCAGGCCTGTTTGGTGTGATTTAAGGTGTAAGCAGAGCAGAACTTCTACCAGCTTTCCTCATTTGAGATGAACAGTTGTGCACAGCATTGGATTCAAAGACTCTGGTTAGCCTCCCTGCAGGTATTTCTTAGCTAGAAATCAAATTAATGTAAAGGCAGAAGGGCAACATAAAAAGTACAATGGTTCACTTGCATGTACCAATGTGACAGCAGGTGAAGACATTCCTCACACAAGCCCCCATCAAGCCAAACTGATTATTTCCTTCACATCACTTAAATATTCTGAAGGAAAGGAAGAAAATTACTCATTTCCATTTTCACTTGTCACCTACATACAGATGAATACCTATTTTTAGAAAAGGAAGCAGCACATAGCACATTTAAATAGCTTTCAACAGCTATATTGCTTAGGGCAGCAAAAGCACATCAATCTAGCTGAAATTATACAGCCCCTGACAGAATTCCCTGCTTTTTTCCCCCCTCCTTGGAGGGTCACTTAATGCACAGGTCATTTTGCTGCATAACAAAATTAATCTGCAGTGCAACACAATTACATTCAATAAATAAAACAGAGCTCTTGCAGGCTGCTCCACTGGAACTGAAACCTAACAGAATTAGGGACTCAATTCTATCTACCATATGACAACGTAAGATACTAAATAAGTGATCTCTATATTCAAAGCTGCATCTCAGGCATTCAAAACACAATAAAAAGAAGTACAACTTGCAGAAGTTGCTGCAAAATGCTTACAATAATCATAGCTCAGAAGGAAATATCAATGAAACCAGCAACAGCTAAATCAGCGACACATTTCCCTGAACTCTGCTGCTCTGCCACAATCATTGACATTGCAGGAACTTCAATGGCATTTCTAAACCACTCAGCACTCAGTAGTCCCTGCACAGAGATGACAAGTTTTAAAATTAATTCTGTTGTACAAAAGTTAAACTAGTGCAAAGTCCTAGCATTTAAAGGGATACAAGGATGTGCCTGCTCTGAGTTAGGAGTTACAGGATTCCCAAACGCTATTTTAATTGTGGAGTGGGAGGTGATGCACCCACATCCTGAAGAGGTGACACCCACATTGCACAGCACTCCAGCAGTTAAGACTCAGAGAAGGAAAGCTTGCCCCATATTATGCCACATTTTGAGAGACTTGGCACCCAGAGGCCCTCACATCCCATGTAACTACTCAAACCATAAGCTTTGGGGATACCAAAAGGGTTCTCTACCCCTCGTGTTTGATTCGAGGGAGCACACATCCCAGGTAAGAGAAGCAAAGAGACCTTCAAGAGAGTGGGCCAAAGGGGCTCAAAGTTTCATGACTGAGACAAGGCCTCATCAGAGATATCACAAAGGAGACAAAGAAAAGGATCTCAAAATTCAGCAGAAGAACAGGATGCTTCAGACCTCAACTGATGGGGTCAAGTCTGCTAACTTTAAGATGCAGCCTCCTCCTGAAAGAGCAGCACGTTGGAAGTAGCTCCTGGTTCATGAGTGAGGAAACAGGGAAAGTTAGCCAAACTACAAAGCAATCTAAAGTTCAAGATATTTGAAAAATATTTTCGAAGTGCCAGTGTTTAAACAAGAACGTTTCTTTCTACTCTAATAAAATACTAGCGCTGCCTATACCAGACCATTCCATACTGATGTGGTACTTTGCACTGTTTCAGTGACTGACATGACTGTGTTGGCATTAAACAAAATAAGATGTTCTTTTGGACAACTAGTAACATCATTTCTGAGAGGTATCAAGGATTATCAGTGCAGGAGAAAGAATGGCTCACCATCCCAGTGTCACAGGATGCCAGATAATGTGTGCTGGATCATTATTTATAGCCCTAAAAACATCTGCTGCCTTCAGAGGTTCCAGGATTAAAACACACAGCACTTTCCTCAAGAATGGTAAGACTCAGGATCTAAATAAAAACTGTGCAGTTTCCGACAATGCTGATTAAGTGGCATATTTTTAAGAAGTGACTTCAGATAAATCCAAGACCATGATGATCCACCAGTGCAAGCTGAGAGGACAAGCTCTTCAACAGAGTATGCTGGCCAAAATTCTTGGAAACACCTAAAGAATAAAATGATCTTTTATCTTGCACAAGTATCTGGAGACCTGCTCACCTTCATCGGTGGGTATTTATGGTAAGGAGCTGCCCCTGTAGCCAGTTCAATAGCAGTGATCCCAAAACTCCAGATGTCTGCCTTGAAATCGTATCCTCTGACCTGAAAAATATTAAGAGAATGTTAGTATGTGCCTCACTGTCCTACACTACAATCCCTTTCACCCTTTCCCCTTGAATTTGGGAAGAGCAGCACTATAGGAGAAGGAAAGAACACTTGCTCACTCCTCTCCCCACATCTCCTTACACCCTCGAGGAGGTGTTTTTGAAGTCACAGTCTGATGAAAATCATTGTTGTGGGCTGTGCAACTGCTCTGTCATAAACCTCTTCATGAGCAGAACATAAAGGAGCACTGGGTTAACCCAGGCTCAAACTTCTACACAAAGACACAGAGAGCCATTAAACAGTATAATGAAACTCTCATAGTTAATAGATGGACTGTTACCCCTTGGGACACATGCCTCACTACACTTTTAGTTAACCACTTAATCAATCTGACTGCAAACATGCTCCATCCTGAAACTCCAGTACACACCAGCACAGTAAAAGTCCCTCATTCCTGCCTGTAGACTAATATTTCCCTCTACTAATTACCAGTAGCTTCTGCACTTGACATTAAACACAGGCTTGTTCATGAAAATTTATAGCATTTACTTCCCCTCCTGCACAGGAAAAAATATTTCATACGCCAAAGCAGTTACTTCCTCATTATCATTAGGTAATATTTTGGCACTTGCTTTCTCCACTGCAGGGGAGAGACATTATGTACTAACTTCAAGAGCAGCTACGAAAATCAAAGTGTTTGGTTGCTTGGGATGGTTTGTATTTCTTCTTGCTAGACTATGGAAAAATGAGAATTGAATCAGAGCAAAGCTAAGAGGGATATAGTGCTCAGCTAACCTAACAAGCTTTCAAAAGACACTGTGATGAAGCCAACAAATGTTCCCTAAACTACCTTTAGATGATCTTGAATTCTGGCAAACAAAAAAAACCCCTCCTGCACTGTTTGTCAGGTAGTACTACAGCTGAACTGAAATTTATTATGGCAACAGGAACAGTAATTTTTTCAGCTTTGTAAGCATCATTTTCATGAGGCTTAAAGGTCTGAAATGTTTCTTGAAGTGCTTCGGTTTATAGATGCCATGATTTTGAACACACTTTGAGTCAGTTAACTAAACAAGCACAGATATATAGTATAATTTTAAATAACACAGTGAAATAAATACACTACATTAGGGTAGGTTTCCCCCCTCACACTATTTTTAGGTTTTGAGACTAACTTTGGGACATTTCATAGCTCTATTTTTTAGTTACTCTTGCAGCACATCGATACACTGTACACCCCCATTTCCTTCAGGGATTTGAACTGTTTAGTGTGGGTTATTTTTAATTATTTTACATAATCCTGCTTGAAAATGAAAGCTATGAAGCTCAAAACAGCAGTTCATCTTGACATTTTTCCAATACATATTAGTCACCACCCTGCTGTTAGTTTATAACAACATTTTTTTTCAGCAACTTTTTTTTTTGCCCATAAATCAGTCAAGTGAACATACATTCAAAGACAATGTTGGGCTATCACGCATTAACATGCTAAAGGAAATTAACGATGCTAAAAGCAGACCAGATGGAACTGGGTCGATAATATCTATCTATCAGAGGCCAACTACAGCAATCCCTTTGTCCCTTTTCCCGGCTGGATCTAGCGGCTCAGAGTGACACCTGCTGGAAGGCAGCAAGATGATCTGATGGACATAGAAGGATTTCACATCAGCACCTAAAATACTGCTTTAACATATAATATTTGCAGTCACTTAGATGTGCACAGCCTTGGTGGAGGTCTTGTACTCCCTAGAAAACCTGTATCCTTCGGAAATACATTTATTGCATCAAGGACCCCTCACTTTGTCACTAAAAATCTTTATTTTCTGTTCTTAACTTCCTCCTTAAGATTTTTTTCCCCTTTTGTCCTGAGGACTGTGGCTGCAGTGAGCCTGGAGCAGTACTGGGTAGGTCCTGTCCAGGCTGCTGTGCCCTGTGCACCAGGCAGGACACAAAGGATAGAAAAGCAAGGGACAACTCTGATCTGGCTTTGGAAACATCAAATACTCTATTTTTATTTATTTTTAAATCAACATTAAAAAAAATCCAGAGGGATAGGACAGTGAAACAGTTCAGAATCGAAAAAGGTTCCTGACTTTGGAAGCATGTCTTTATTCTTCAGTGTTAGACTTATACTCTGAGGAGACTGCACAAGTGCTGTAACACATCAACCCCTCAATGCCACCATGGGGAGCCACTGAAAAGGCCAAACACTGAAAAAGTCTTTCATCAATAATATATTTAAGCTAATCCAAAGTTATCTCAACTCCTCAATAAGTTTTAGGTATAGGAAAAAATGCATTAAAGTGCTACCACAATTTTAGCTGCATTTCATTTTAGATATATGTGAGGGTCACATTCAAGTTTCCTCTAAGCTTCAAAATATTTTATTGTGAACAACAAGGAGAAAAGTAGCAAGGTGGGTTTACTCTAATAAAACAATGTTTACTCAAAATACTTTTGTTACAGAGATTTTTGAGAGGAAAAAATGAAGACCATTTATAGCCAGCTGTATTTCTGCTTAGAACACCTGTCAAACCCAGCCCTGAGTCCAGCCCTCTGTCAAACTGATTTTAAGGGGATGAGGGGTAAGTTTTGGAATGCTCATGGCACTGAACACCAATGCCACTGACAGCTACTGCAAATGCCCTGTCAGGACTCTGGTGTCATTTTGTTTGTGGAACTTGCTCAGAAATGGCCAATGGTAGTTTACATTAAACAAAGTTTCCAGGTGGCATTCATCAGAAGTCACACAGACAAAGCTCCTGTAGTTTAGTCTAGGAGCAGCAGAGAACAGAAAGTGACATAACTTCACCCAAGGGGAGAAAATGTGACATCTCTTAGCTGACCAAAAGAGCAGAGGAGGAAGGGGCAAAAGGCAAGCAGTCCTAGGCGTTTAGAGCCTGGATCCTTGCAAACCAAGAGAAGCTAAAAACCTGAATAAAGTCAACTGAATGATATTTTACTGCAGTAACTCCCCACTTTGACATGTCACAATTAACCACCCCAAATGCTCACTTGCAAATGCAGAAGAGCATGTCACTGAGCTGTATATGTGTGAAACTGCTTATATTCTATCTCACATTTATGCAAGAGGGAGGGGCAGGTTAATCCTCTTTATGCAACAGCTGAGCTGTCTCACCCTCACCTTAGGCAGGAGCTTGAAGAGAAGCAATAGAGCAAAAAAACCTACTGAACACTTAACATTCCCCAGTCCAAGTCTGGCTGCAATAGGCAAACTGAAGAAAATCCTGTGGTTTTGAGAAAAACTTAAAGGATGCCAAATTAACATCTTAGTTTGAAGTAAATACAGCCATTGTTGATAACAGGGAATTCCAGGTGCAGATCAGCTCAGAAGACACTAGGAAAAACAATTCACCTGCTCCATAACTTCTGGTGCCATCCAGCAAGGTGTGCCCACAAATGTTTTCCTGACTTTATTCCTGGTAATGTCACCACCAGTGGCCAGAAATGCGCTAACACCAAAGTCTGAAAAGAAAACAAAGGCAGAATTTATTAAGAACACATCCCGAGCACACTGAAGGGCTGTCCCCTCTTTCCCCTCATATTCCCAGCCACCTATTAAGTACTAGACCATGCAGTCACGCATGAAGAGTTCCCTAATAAAGGAGGAATGATCAACAGTTAGCTAAGAGTGCTGGTACATGAACTGCCATTCAGCAGTTCCCCATTCAATTCCTGGGGACAGCAGAACTTTCAGCGCTGGCCGGCAGAGAGGAAAATTCCACTTGCCATTACAGCCCACTGGTCACATTACAGCCCTCCCCGTGCTCCCCCACAGACCTGCTGCTGTACAAACCTGCCTCTGCCAGACACAGCTTTATTTACATTTGCATATATACATAATGAGAACTGAGCCTCAATCAGCACCCTGTTAACAGTCACAGCAATCAAGCTGGGTATGTAAAAAGTTACCTGACTTGGTAACATTTAACAGTCCTAAATGCAACCTAGAGATGAGATACCAGCCCCTTAGTCTGGCTATTTTATTACCAGAATGTGTTTTGCATGGTAATCTTCCATGACTGAAATGCTCAGTGCTTTAACAGGACCATGGACTGGTTCCTGAGACAGAGCAGCACTGCTGAATGGAGCAGCAGGTGCCACAAACCAGCCTGATCATCCCAGAGGAAGCCTTGCAGACAGGTATTCACACCTGCATCACCACAACCTGAAACACCTTTCATCACAAGCTGGAAGATGCTCAAGGATGACCTTTGCACTCACTGGTAATTGTATTTCTAAAGATTAAATCACTCTTTTATGTGAAAATTATGCTGTCAAAGGTAACCCTGATGTTTTATGCAATTAAGAATGAAATGGAAAACAGGGTCTGTGACCAGCAGCAGCAGGGTGAAGGAATAGATCTGTGATACAGTGTGCTTGTTCAGAGAAGAGCATTACAACAGAATTGGCAGCCAAGTCATTCAAGAGAGGATGGTACTTTCCTTGGAGAAAAAAGGAATAAATCAAGTGACAGGGAAACTGTATACACAGAATCGGGTAAGTATTTCTTCCCAATTTGCTCCAAACTACACTGCTTATGTCTTGTTGAATTACAGACCCTCCAGTGGGCCTTTAATTCCCCTAACTCAACTTTATCTACACACATTTTTTTAAACACAGTACAAGCAATCAAAATCTTGAATGTCATTTTCAATACTGATGACAGGCTTGGAAAGCAAGTCTGAAATTCCAGGGCATTTCACATAAAATCAGAACATTATCAACCACAACTAGTTCAAAAATTCTTGAAACTCTGCTGACAGTTAACTGTAAAGCCAAAAGCCTTTGCCGCCGCAGCCAGAGGAGACAGAGTTACTCCATGGCTTAAGAATGTTATTCTGAGAAATCAACTGCAACAAAAGATCCCACTTCACAACTTGCAGGCAATGGCATCCATGTAAGGACCATCCCAAGCTTCCCTTGGCGTCATACCACCAGATACTTGAGAAACACCACTGAAATCATCCCTCAGAAGAAGATGCTGAAAGCTTCCATCTCACTTTGGCCAGAGGCTTCCAAGGACAGGAACTTAGTAGTCACTAGAGTACTAGACATGGATAACTGAAAGGTGACATTGAAGGAAGTTGCATAGAAATCACAGGGCTAAAATCAGCACTAGCAAATGCCTATCACTGGGGTTCAGCTTCTTCCAGATATGCTGTCTTGTTCTCTTCCCTGCTCCGAGAGGCATCTTGGCTTCCTGCTATCCTTGAAGTTTTAGCACTCCTGGATGGATCACTATCCCCATCAGCATTGCCCTCTGTATTTTTCTGGAAACCCACTTTTAGCAACAGTGATTTTGCTTTGAGATCTTTTCTGTGAGTATTCACCATCCCTGCTTTTCCCAGAAACTGAAGGAACTGCCTAAAGATTCAGAGCAAAGTTACTTGCCCTTTACTACTCATTACAGGAAGCCTTGCAAGATCTATTGTTCTGAATTCAAGAGCAATTAGAAGTTCTTTTAAATAAGATAATACTAATAGAAACTTGTCCTAGTGCCATCAGCATTTTATTGTGATGTGCTGTATTTGAACTTGCACATATTATCTTACCTCAAGTTTCCATGCAGTCATTTTGAGGGGAAAGGAAATGCCATTCAAAGCAAAAGCATTCCAGCAGTAAAAACACAAGTCCTTTACACACTATTCACCACATCTCAGATCAAACATGGGTTTATAAATTCCAGTTGGAAACTGGGCCCCTACATCTGCCATCTGAGGTCAGCAGAAAGCTTAAATGGAATTAAAGTTTATTTTATTACATGGTTGATTTATTCAATGTTTTCCCAATCAATTTCCCTCATTTCTAGTGGGCTAAAACAGGCACAGCCAGTCTGTGTTGCTTTGCTGTAAGGAATGACTTTGAGACCATCTTCTCAAATGTCATCTTACTAACTTTATCCAAGCCCCAGCTATTAAGATAAGAATGTGCCTGCTCTCAAGAAATATCTGCAAAGCAATAAAACACAATTCTAACCACAAGTTCAGATTGGTTCAGATCATATTTCTGAGCAGTTGGTACGATCTGAGCCTCAGCCTCTCTGCCCTCAGAAAGGTTATGAAAGAACTAGGTTACTGCAAACGAATTTAACTCCAGAAAATGGGAAAAGCCATGAAATTCAAGATAGCTCACAGGTGTTTATATTTGTACTCTTCTTTGGCAGCTCATAGTTTATATTGGCTCCCTACAGTGATAACTGAAAAGGACTGAATCACCAGAAACAGAGAGAACTGGAAATGTTTGGACTTGGCTTGCAATACCAGTAACCACCACTGCTGAAGACCCACCAACTGTCAGACATTCTAAAGAAATCCCAAAATTGCAGACTTCCAGCAGTCTATTAGCAAATAACAGATTCCAGGATGCCTGGGCACAAGTGGTAGGATATTTTTTAAAATCATTTTTCTGAAGCAATATAGAAAAGATTCATTTGTTGGAGCTGTGATATAAACCAAAGACTGCTTACAGAAACCCAGAGATGTACATCTCCAGACACATATCACAGCAAAACCAATCCAGGATGAGAATGTCAATTCTGCTGATGCAGGCTCTGCAGAAAATATGGCAATTTTGTCTTTTTCAGTAGAAAAATCACATGTTGCAAACCACATCCCCTACAGGACACTCTGCAGCAGCATCGAAGTTGCAGACTAGTGTTTGAAA